CTCGATTCTGGAACAAACTTCGGATATCTGCGGTGATGCCATTTTGTTTGGCAATGGCATTGAAACCACGCGACCTCTACACGTTGTCTCCAGTCATTTGGTGGTGCCCTTCGATAAACCTCTGGAAAATTACAATTATTTTCGTAAGCCGTTCACCCTCGACGTTTGGATATGCATTGCAATTTCGTTTGTCTCTTCGGTGGTTTTGCTGCTGATAATCGAATACAAGGAATATGGACGTTTACGTTTGGTCAATAGCATCTTCACAACATTCTCCAGCTTTATATGTTCTTCGTTCAGTGTAGAGCATTTGTCGCCAAAGTATCACTACGGTTTGGAGACAATTTTAATTTTTAGCGGTTTCATGCTCTCCAATTACTATTTGGCGGTATTGTCATCACTTTTGCTCACGAAAATCTATGAAAGAGAAATCGATAGTATTCAAGATGTCTTGGACCACAACCTAACAATTGTAACCACCGAATTCCAGCAATATGTTTTGGAAGTAACTAAAGCCTCACCGCAGATAAGGCGACAGACCGTAGTTTTTTCCGAAGAGGAAGCCGTGGCTAATATGCGTAAACTGAATACGGAATATGTATATTTCGGCTTAAATGCCGAAATCGATTTTTTTCTCTATCAACAGAAATTTTTGTCTCGACCTCGAATGAAGAAACTAGCAGATGAAGCGGTGACCACCGATATTGGCGAAATTCCAATGCGGGCCTATTGGCCACTGCAAGAACTACTTATGTCTCACATGGAAAACATTTTTAGTAGTGGCATTGTAATGTATCTGGAGACAGAAACATTGAGGATGGCATACGCCAAGGTGACATAGCCTTTATACCCAACAAAGATCTTTCGGTTGCGCCCCTGTCGTTGGAATATTTTGTTTGTGTGGTTTACTTTTGGCTGGAGGTTACTCATTGTCATTTATGTGTTTTATAACTGAAATAATTGTTTATAAATATTGTGGTAGAAAATAAGGGGATCAAATGGTTTTATGCCAACCTCTTGGAAGTTGGAGGTAATAAAACGTATGATTTAATGTACTCGTGCTTTTATTTAATGGCCTTGCCGATCTTTTAAAATGGGATAGTATCAATTATACTTAAATCGTTTGTGTCGGAAATGTCACAAATTTTGGGTTAGTTTTATATTTTGACGTTTAAAGATAAAAAAAGGTAAAGGTAAATCCTCAACTAGAAATTTTCTGAAATTTGGCATTCTGAGATTTGATATTTAGCTTTGTCTAATAATAGAAAAAAAATCTACGAAATACAGACAGTGGTGTAACATTATTATTAGGCGACTGTTAAAAGCTGAAGCTTTGCAACTTTGTACGAGGATCATACGTCATGCGCCGGGCTGATATAAGGTGAAACAGTTGGAAATTCGTACTCCAAGGGTTCGATAAAGACCGCAAGATACATATTTTACAATACAAAATATGTATGTGTCTCATTAATGGGATTTTTCAGGAACCCATTCTTTAAAGGTACAAAAGTATTACAACTAAAGTGGCCAAAAAATGGCACATGAGCTGGAAATATCGCAATATTCCATTCGGCAAATATTGAAAACTGAGCCAATGAAATTCCCAAAATTCCACCGCAACATGAAGAAAATAGACTCAAAGTGCTAAAGAGGTGCTTCGCTTGGTCGAAAGTGGTGAACTGCCGAATTTGGGTTTCTCCGATGAGTCCAGCAGTTTGTAAACAAACAAAATGATCGTGTTTACTTGCCAAAGAGGTCAGCTGAAAATGTGCACCTGCGGTTGGCAACCAGAACTCAAGCACCGGTCATGGTGATGGTGTGGGCCGCCATAACAGCCGATGGTCGCTCTCCGCTCGTATCAATCGACCATGGCATCAGAATAAATGTAAAAATTGTGGCGTTTGACTTTGTTGCATTTTTATACCTTCCACCTTGGGAAGGAGGGTATATTAACTTTGTCATTCCATTGTAACATCCTTAAATATTCGTCGTAGGCCCCATAAAGAATATATATTCATAATCACCATAAAATTCTAAGTCGATTTAACGATGTCCGTCTGTCTGTCTGTTCGTCTGTCTATTGAAATCACGATACAGCCCACACTATTTGACGTAGAGCACCAAAATTTGGCAGAGCAATTTGTATTGTGTCTAGGATGGTTGGCATTGAAAATGAAATATATCGGTAAACGTTTCGGTATAGTCCCCATATAACGGTACCTCCCTATATTCGGTATTTTGATGATATTTGTCACATTTTTTGCGGATTTGTCTGAAAAATTGTATTTGTAGGTCATAACGGATCCTAGTTCGTGTGGGGAGACATTGCATGTGTAGGTCCACGATTTGGAATAGCCCCGATATGAAGGTACCGGGATTTGGTACCCCCATTAGGGGTTCTAGCTCCTTTGGCGAAACATTGTATGTATAGGTCCACGTTATTGTATAGCTGCATATAACCGAATTTCCCGATATTCGGCATTTTGATGATTTTTGGCACATTTTCCCATGAATATGTCTAAAAATTGGTATTTGTGGGTCATAATGGGCTCTAATGTTTCCTTTACCCTAAGGTGGAGGGTATTAAAAGTGTGGCCCGGCCAAACTTACTATTTTTTAATTGTTTTACCTCACCCTGTGTACTCTACTAAAATCAAACCCAGAGTTGTAGGCTAGGTCTGAAAAGACTGCATAATACACTTCAATTTTGCTGAGAACCTAGTTATTGTAATTTTAAACGAATTGAGAAAGGCGATGAACTATCAAGAAAGGGCTCAAAGTAAAAAATATAAGTTTCTACATACTGGGAACACAATGTGTGTGTGGTACAGCTCATTCGGGCTTAAATTGTAACAAAAGAATCAAATGACCGCACAGTTATATGTGACTATACCTTTACAACTCAAAACATCAAGTTTAGATAACTCTGTTGAAAATCGTCAATATACTGCAAATTGTGAGTTACCATTATATAGGGAATGTACAGGCAATTTCACATTTCATGTCATAGGAAAATTCCGAATTTGGTGTTGAAAAATGCAGCTAGAATCAAAAAAACGTGGGCCACTACATTCAGTTATATGCTAGAGAATGCGACGTCTATTACGAACGCTAAATACCAAGTTTAAGATAATTCCGCTGAAAAAAAAAAATCAGCTAAAATCATCAAGGGGCTGAATATTGTAAAGTACCTTTATATGGACAACAAGGGGTGGATCTGCACAGGAAATTTTCTGTTAGAGGAAGTAGTAATCATTACGAACTACAGATACCAGAAATAATTTTTTGAAAGCCAACCCAACCTAAAGACCACAGGTCTGCCGGTACAGTTATACCTACGAGAGCAATACCAAAACGGAGACCTATATATCCCATTTTCAGTACTAAAAGTCCTGCAGACCTAAACACAGTAAAATTTCAACAACCTACTTATTTTGGTTACAGGCCACACGGGCAAACAGACGGACGAAAATAGCTAAATCGACATATCGTTTTGCTGATCTAAAATATACATGTATACTTTGTAGAGTCGAGGTGTTACAAACGAAATGACAAACCTAATATACCCTTATATTTTACTTTTTGGTGTTTCTGGTGAGTATTATGAGGTGCTGCAAATTTTAATTTAATTTTAATTATATAGTAAAAATATATACTCTATTCGGAATAAATTGTACATTCGCATGAATTACAAAATCACTAAGTCTCATAAGTACTTTATACTTTAGCATCGAACTTAAGTCGCAATGGCACTGCCTGAAAAATGCAGCTATGGCGGAAATGGTTTAGCACGATTATTTAGCAACTAAAAATCTAATTTGCTTTGAGAATATGTCTCAACTCCTCGATGAGTCTGGCGGGGCCGATTTTATGATACCCTACACCACTTTGCTAATTTAGTAGAGCTCCACATAACAATTAAAAGTTTTATGAGAGAATTCAATCATACACGCTATGATTATATTTATAATTTAAAGTTCATAGGACTAAACATGCCGAAGCATTTGTATCTGTTAAATTCGGATTTGTATTGCCCATTTGGTGCAAAATTAATTTGAAATCATATAAAGATATATATGGGAGCTATATCCAAATCTGAACCGATCTCGATAAAAATTGGCAAAGGTATTCTGAGCTGTATTTGATATATTTCCCAAAATATTGTTGTTACAGATTACATATTACGGCTGTGGGTAATAAATACAATATTTATGGGAGCTATAGCTATATCTGAACCGATCTTCACCAATTTGGCATACTACCTTCTAGACTCAATTCGGTCGCATGTGCCAAATTCCATCCCATTTGGGCAAATATTAGACGTTTGGTGCACAATAAAAGGTAAATCGGACGATGTTATATATGGGAGCTATATTCAAATCTGAACCGATCTCGATAAAATTTAGCAAAGGTATTTCTGAGCTGTATTTGATATATTTCCACAAATATTATTGTTACGGAGTGCATATTACGGCTGCGGAGGACAAAAATAACAAATCGGATGAACAATATATATGGGAACTTGTAGCTATATCTTAACCGATCTTCACCAAATTTGGCATACTACCTTCTAGACTCAATTCGGTCGTATGTGCAAAATTCCATCCCATTTGGGCAAATATAAGACTTTTGGTGCACAATAAAAAGCAAATCGGACGAAGATATATATGGGAGCTATATCTAAATTTTTACCGATTATCCCCAATTTCAATAGGGTTCGTCCTTGGGACAGACGGACGGACTGACATGCATAAATCAACTCAGAAAGTGATTCTACGGAGATCCTCAAAAGTGACTATGGGTCTATCTCGCTTCCTTCTCCATGTTACAAACAATTACACAAAGAGGTAGGGTATTAAATCATAGCTCAAAATATTTCAAATAAACTGATATCAATCAATTAAACCTATTTATGCATTTGTCTGCATGTACCTAAATAGCCAGATATAATTACATCCAATATCTTATAATTCCATTTAATTCATAAGCATTTCACTTACCAACATTGTTGCAGCTTTTGTCATTTCGAACTGGTGCTTCATCCAATTTTGATGCTGTTGCTGACGACATTTCTTGTGACATTGACGGCAAAATGTTTTCACTCTTGATATCCAAAATAAACAAATTGTCTTTCTATCTGCAATTGCAACACGGCGAATCAGTGTCTGTATCTCTTTGTGGCAACTTAGTATGACGATGTATTTGACGGTTTTAGATGTGCAGACGTTTTTTTTTTTCTTTCCTGACAACAGCGCCTCTATGTCTTCTGAAATAGAAACGAAAATTGTGAATTGATAATAAATATATAGAAAACCAATGGCCTACATAGTTTGTATTTGGTTTGTAAATAATCCAAATTTACGTAACGCAAGTTTGGGGAGAGAGAGCAGTAAATGGGAAAATGCTCGACAATTCAACGAATTGCAACGAAAAATTAAAATCTGTTAAAATCTTAAAAATACCGAATATAACAATTATCTTAGGGTCTATACGACGACGTGGACCTGCCTATGCATTTGAATGCGAAACTTGAAAAGAAAATAATGTAGCTAAAATCATCAAAATTCCGAAATAGGAAGGTACCATTATATGGATGATATACAAAGACGTGGACCTGCGCAGATAATTTTCTGTCGCAGGCTGCAGTACCCATTACGAACTTCAAATATCAAATATGAAACAATTCCGGTGAATAATGTCGCTAAAATCATCTAAAAATTAATATCGGGAGATACCGTTATATGGGGCTATACGAAGACGTGGAACTGCGATTTTCTGTCTTAGGCTCTAGTATTCCTTACGAACTTCAAATATCAAATTTGAAACAATTCCGGTATATAATATCGCTAAAATCATCAACATACCGAATATCGGGGGGTACCTTTATATGGGGGCTATACGAAGACATGGACCTGCACAGAATTTTTTTTTTTTTTTTTTTGTCTTAGGCTGTACTATCCATTGCAAATTTTGAATACCAAATTTGAAACATTTCCGGTGAATAATGTATATTAAATCACCAAATACCGAAAAAGAGAGTTACCATTATATGGGGGCTATATCAAAACGTGGACCTACATGGCCCATTTTCAATACCAAAAGTCCTGCAGACATTTGAGTAAAATTCTATTAACCTACTTCATTTCGTTCGGAAGCTAGAGTGATTTCCACAGACGTAAATCGATATAGAATTTTATGCTGATCTTAAATGTATATTTCGAGGTGTTACAAACGAAATGACAAACTTAATATGGAGGGTATGGTGGAGGGTATAAAAATGTCAAATGAGACAGATTAATAATATACGCATACACTTTACGCAGCGGCATAGGCAGAAATTCATTTTGAAATAATTTCGCGTATTCTATGTAAATACACTGGTGGCCAAACTAAAGCAACTTAAATCGCAAAGACAATAAATGTCCTGTAACTTTTACAAAAACAACAAATCGTAATTATTTTTCCAGTTTTAAATGAGGGGTTTAATTCCCTTTCAAGAAACTAAAAATAAAAATACAAAAATAAGTTTGAACGAAAAATAATATGTGGAAAACTAAAATGACCCAATTTTTGCTTGGTCAAAACTAAAGCAACTTTTGATTTTATAACCCTCAGCCATATGGCTACAGAGGGTATATATCATTTGATACGGCCAAAACGTGCCTAGTCGAAATAACGGTTTTAGACCCTAGGTCTCTTTGGACCAATCCGTTTCAGAACATTTGGAGTCGATCTAGCGATGTCCGTCCGTCCGTCCGTCCGTCTGTCTGTCTGTCTGGCTGGCTGGTGCGCACGATAACTCTCGAAGGGAGTATCCGATTTGGTCCAAATTAGCTACAACGTAATATTTTTGTCAAACTTAGATCGAGTTCGGAGATGGGCAATATCGGTCCACTCCTTCTGGTACCTCCCCCACAAAAGGTCGAAATTTTCAAAAAATATATTTTTTGCACAGGAAGAGAAAGGATAATCCGAATTTGCTCCAACTTTGCAAATCCTAATATTTGCGTCAGTGCTAGGTCAGGTGTGAAAATAGGCAATATCGGTCCACTCCATCAAGTACCTCCCCCACAAATGGTCAAATTTTGAATAATTACAACTCTCATAAAATGTTATGTAAGAGTCCGATTGTCTTCAAATTTCACACATCCCAATATTTATATTAACCCAAGGTCTGGTGTTAAGATGAATAATATCGGCCCACTCCTTCTGGTACCTCCCCCACAAAAGGTCGAAATTTTCAAAAATATATTTTTGCACAGGAAGAGAAAGGATAATCCGAATTTGCTCCAACTTTGCAAATCCTAATATTTGCGTCAGTGCTAGGTCAGGTGTGAAAATGGGCAATATCGGTCCACTCCATCAAGTACCTCCCCACAAATGGTCAAAATTTTGAATAATTACAACTCTCATAAAATGTTATGTAAGAGTCCGATTGTCTTCAAATTTCACACATCCCATATTTATATTAACCCAGGTCTGGTGTTAAGATGAACAATATCGGCCCACTCCTTCTGGTACCTCCCCCACAAAAGGTCGAAATTTTCAAAAAAAAAAAAAAAAATTGCACAGAAAGAGAAAGACTAATCCGAATTTGCTCCGACTTTGCGAATCCTAATATTTGCAACAGTGCTAGGACAGGTGTGAAAATGGACAATATCGGTCCACTCCATCAAGTACCTCCCCCCACAAAATATTGAAATTTTGAGTACCCATGAAGCTCATAAATCGCCAAATTAACATCCGATTCATTTAGACTTGGCACATCTGTCGAAATATTTATATCATATTTTGGGTCCGATAGGAAATTGGCAATATTGGCCCATTCCTTCGGGATCTGCTCCATAGAGGGTCAAACGTTTGAATAACCTTAACACTAGTCAAAATATATTTAGATAATCGAACATAGGCTGAGGGTATATCTCTTGCGGCAATACCGACTGATACTTTTTAACTTGTTTATTTTAAAATAATTAAATTTTGGCAAGTAGTCGATAACATAACCAGTATTTTTGATAGCAGCTGCACACCTACGAGGCATTGAATCTATAACACGCTCAATTTGATCCTTGGGTGTGCTTTCCCAGGCACCCCGAATTCTTTAGAAAATGTTGTGCTTATTTATTTCCGAATCTCTCTTGATCTTCCTATCTACGATACTCCAAAGGCTTTCTAAGGAGTTTAGGTCAGGTGATTGTGCCGGTCATAACAAAACATGAATTTTTGACTCCCGCAACCAATATTTGACAAGTTTTGATACAAGTTTGGGATCATTGTCATGCTGAAACACACAAATCAGCCCAATATTTTACTCAGCGTAAGGGAACAACGTGATGTCTAACACATCTTTGTAAACAAACGGATCCACAACTTCCTTTATTTTATGGATAGACCCAAGTCCATAGAAAGAAAAATAGCGCCACGCCATTTTTGACCCTCCCCCATGCTTCACTGTACCTTTGCAACACTGCGGCTTGAGTCCTTCATTTTTTGGTCTTCTCACCGTAAAATTTTTCACGTCTGAGCCTTTAATATTAAACGTAGACTCATCCCAGAAATAATGTTTTTTCCATTGAGCTTGATTCCACTTAATATTATCGTTTCCGAAAGCCTTTTTGATTTTTTCAGATATAAATGGTTTTTTGATGTCTTACGGGCACGCAGACCAGCTGCCACTACTCGTCTACGCACTGATCTCGAGCTTATATCCAATGATTGCTCTCTCACCAATCCTGTTGAACTCTTAAATAGTTGTTTTTTATTTCTCTCACAATTTGTGGATTAGTATGGGCTGAAGTTCTTCACGGCCTTCATCCGTTATGGACTGTTACTACTGATCCAGTTTCAAAAAACCGACCTAGTGCACAGACGTAATTATGAAATCACATAAATATTTATGAAATATTTCTCGGAAATCATTTTCTGTGATATGTTGTTTTGATAATCACTGATAATTTGCTGTTTTATTCAGGTCAGTATTTGTTTCTAGCCATTTTTAAATTTTTTTTGGCAGTACTTAAAAACGAAAAGAAAAACATATACTGTTGTAAAAAACTTCTCAAAAAGGATTTATGACAAGCGAAATTGTCGAAGGAAGCAAAAAGCGATAAATATCACAGTAAAAACCACTGAAATTGCAGCGGTTATATGAATGTACCACAGAGTTGCTTTTGTTTTGTCCAAGCCAAAATCGGGTTATTGACTTTACCAAACATAATTTTTTACATAAAAATGAATTTTGGTTTTATGTTTTAGGTTTTTAAAAAGTGAATAAAGTACCTAATTTAAAACAAGAAAAACTTTCTCATTTTCTTAATTTTTGAAAAAGTTACAGGGCATTCATTCTCCTTGTAAATTCAGTTGCTTTAGTTTTGGCCACCAGTGTATATCCAAAATACTCCCCTTAGTTTATGGGACGATATTTCGTGATGTTGCAAACGGAATGGCAAATCCAATTTACCTCCGATCCGAGCTCCCATACATATGTTTCATCCGATTTGGGGTTTTAAGTCCCTCACGTACGTAATATGACCTCCACAAGAATGATATTCGGTACCGGAAGCCTTATGGAGCTCAATAATCTATGCCAAATTTTATCAGATTAGGATATAGCTCACATATTCCTTTATCCCATATCAGGTTTGTTGTGCACCAAATGCCTAATATCAGCCCAAATGGACTGAATTCAAGTACAATAGCCCCCATATGCAGGGTGAGATAAAAACTGCAACAAAGTCAAAAGCCATACATTTTATTTATTTATTATTTTTTTTTTTTTTTTTTCAATTTTATTGAATGAAAGCAAAAAATGTCAGAAATGGCATCAAATTTTAGAATAAGTTTAGATTTGTTCGAATTGGTCACCTTTGGCACGAAATATGTTATAATGATGGTGGAAATCGGACCATTTCTTCTGGTACCTAGGGTTCAAGACTTTGAAAAACAAATCTCTTCAATTTTCTCTTCAAATTTCACACATCCAAATATTTTTGCTAACACAAGATCTGTTGTGAAGATTATATGTATCTGTCACAAATTCCAGTACTTATATCTGTCGTAACTTGGGAAACAAGTCGGCGATTATTTACAACTTGATATATCTAAGTATTACCCTTAACCAGAAATCTACGATGAATATGGATTTTATTGAAATTAATGATTTCGCACAAAATTGGATATCCTTCCTTGGATTTCCTTCAAATGTTTCATATATCAAAATTTTGATCTGTATTAGATGAAGAATGAAAATGGAATGTCGGTCCGCTATATCTATTACCTCAAGCATATTTCCACATTTTCCAGAAATTTTGAATAAATTATAGGAAGTAGTCGATATCGACAAAATTGGGCACGTTGCAGTCAATATTGGCCAACTGCTTCGGAACCTCCCCCTCTGGAGGTATAGATCTGTCTTCAAAATCAATTGATACTATTTTACTTTTTTAAAATTTCGACCTTTTGTGGGGAGGTGCCAGAAGGAGTGGACCGATATTTCCCATATCCGAACTCGATCTAAGTTTGATAATAATATTACGATGTTTGGACCAAATCGGATACTCCCTTTCGAGAGTTATCGTGCGCACCATCCTGCCAGACAGACGGACGGACGGACATCGCTATATCGACTCCAAGCGTCCCAAAACGGATTTGGTTCAAAGAGACCTAGGGTATAAAACCGTTATTTCTACCCAACCTAGCCATATGGTTGAAGATATAAAAACTCTCTGCAACTATTCTCATTTATTGAACTTATTATTGCATAAACGGATAAAATTCATCCGCAGACACACTTATTATGTATCTCGAGGACTGCCAGAGTATTATTTGATGCAAGTTCTAGCCTCAGTTTCAACTGAGACCACTGTACTTGTTTCCCTTTATATATAAATTTTGACATATATTTCGCATTAGCACATCTGATAGCTAGATATTCACAACACGGACGCACAGCACGCGTCAGTTTGTAAAGTGTTTCTGATACGCTTTTCTGTCGCACAGTTTTGTTTATTTATATTTTGTTGTTGTTATTATTGTATGACAGATGTCCTCAAATATTTTTCAGACACTCAGTTCTAAATATTTCCACTTCACTTCAAACACATATGACTTTTTTACGAAACGCATTCACAGATAAAAAAAAGTCGTCCACAGATAAACACTGTCGCACAGTACGTAGATATGTAATTTCGTTCATCTGAATGTCTTCCCTTCACTTCCAAGGCAAACCAAATGTTGAAAAAACAAATACTATTTCAGCAATTATTTGCAACCGCCTGCTGTGGATGTTTTGAAAAAAAAAAACTGAAAGAACCGGCAAACAAAGGGCTTTACCGCAAGGCCGCATCCAATGGTTGGATAAAAAAAACTAAATTCACATTTTTATCTCCTGATCATATTAAATATCATTCATTATTATTTTTTCAGTAGGTATTATTTTTTGTTTTTTTTTTTTTATATACCGCTCAGATGTTCGCCACGCTTAACAATATATAGCCGCACCAACACTAACACTTGTCCCGGCACCGGCTTTTACATTTCGGCCATATGTTTTTAACGCTAGACCGTATTACGTTTACGTTATTCGTGTTATTTTGTTTTGCTCACTTTTTGTTATGAAATATGCCTGCACAGGTGTGTGTGTGTGTGTAATAGAGTGCGTATGAGTATTGTTTATGTGTACGTGTGCGCTCTCGCGTTTGTTTGTTTGTCTGTGTTATGGCAACCAAATGAACCCTTCAGTGCAAAGTGCATTCAGTTATTTATTCGTTTGCCATAAAACACGCTTTTTTCAAAGTACCGTTCGCAACTGAGCTCGTTTTTTAGGCGAGCAAATACTTTTATAGATTCGCCAAGTTTCCAACTGGCACTTGTGCAGTATTTATTTAGCTTTTTTGTTGCTGCTTCTTTGTATTTTTTGTTAGTTCTGGGTTCTCTTGCTGTTCTGTTAGTTGGCTCCTGTTGTGTTTCTTCCTCTTTATATGTTGTGTTTTTTGTTGTTGTTTGTTGCTTGGTTGTTAGTTTTGTTCAAAAGGTTATGTGAGCTTTTGACGTACTCACTGTTGTTTGTTGACTGCCAATAAAAGCCAGTTTATGGGGACGAACGAACAAAAATTGTCCTCTCCCTTTTTTATTTCCCTTTTGTTATTGTTGCTTGTTTTGTTTCTTGCGCAGAAAGGTGAGTTCAATTTTGTGTTGCCATTGCAACGTAGAGGCAAAATACTGCATCGAACACCAACAACTGTATTTGGCCACTGACACCGGCTACAACAGCAGCAGCACCACCACCATCACCATTGCCACCAAATGCAGGCTGCAAGTTTTACCGTTTCGTTTGTGGTCAGTCTCAACCCCCCATCGGGATTTTGAGTGGCGCAAGTGTCATTATATCTGTCTACCACTTTCGTTGCACAGCCAAATGAAAATGAAAGTGTATGGATGTCTGCCTTTGTTGTGATAAAAATACTTTCCGACTGGATGGAGGAGGTAACAATGGGAAGCGTTTACGTTGCAAGATTTATTATTGTTTCCTTATTATAAATTCTCTTTGATTGCAAAAAAATAAATAAATAAATAATAACATCTGAAATAGGTAAGAACAATGCTAAGAACACCCAGAATTGAGTTTCAACACAATATTTTCTAAAGTCCGAATTTGTTTACTCCAACAAACATGACTTGCCATTGAATGGAAGATGTAATGGTATGGGTTGGTATTTCTTCGGGGCGGGTTACAAATGTACAGGAGTTATATTAATGTTTTCTGTAGCAGAGCATCTCTGAGTGTATTCGTCAACTTCCAAAAAATTGACCCTCACTGCCTCCTTTACGCTTAAATATGCAACTGATACAGTTAACCGCCCTCAAAATATAAGATTCGTGATATTCGTGAAAGTTGAATATGAACAGCCTGACAAATATGGGAGGTGAGCAGCTCTTAAGCCCAGATCATCCAACAGATGATAATTTTTCCAGGGCATCGTAGCTTTTGCAACAACTCACTATATGTGTGGTGATCGAAATAAATCACTCGAAAAATATCTCTGATAAGGCTGTGGGCCAAGTGAGCGCAATTAGCTCCGTCGATTTCACACTGAATGCCGTAAACTCCCCCACACTATACCACATAAGGGAAAACATATGCAAACGTACAGGACTTTCCAAAAAAGATGGACTGGCCGTATATATGATACCCTACACCACAATGAATTTTGAAATTTTTTTTGGGCCCATTCCAATCGACGAGGCTTGTCCGCAGGCAACATTCTTTGCGTCAATTGAATTTTGTACGGGAACAAATGCAAATCAATGCGAATAATCCGTTATAAAGTGGACCGAGCCATGCCCAACTGCTGAGAACGGCGTTTTTGGTATGATCTTGGGGACCTCTCAACACTGGCTCGTACGGCAGCGATATTCTCGGCCTATCGCCTTGGTCGACTTTTATATGGCCTCTTCGGATTAGAAAGAGCCTTACCAGTCGAAAATTTTTCGTATAAACGCTTAATGGTGTTCTTAGAAGGCGCACTTCTCACATTTTTTAATGTTTTAAAAGCACGTTGTGTTTTCACAATTGACTTCTTCTGTTGAATGTAAATTTCAGAGCGCTCGCGTGGCGTGTATTGGTTCATGGTAAAAATCTGCTTGGACTGACGCTTCAAACGCGGTATGTCATTAAGCGATGTGACATCTCTGTCAAAAGTTATGGCGTTGCCAGATGGGTCCGTCGAATATGGGCAACCCTGTAGTTTAGTATTTAGTGGAAATCACTATACCTTCCTAAGGAAATGAAGTAGGTTAATAAAATTTTACTCAGGACTTTTGGTATGGAAAATGGGCTATATAGGTCCACGTTTTGGTATTGCCCCCATATAACTGTATCGACAGATTTGAGGTTGTTTTAGAGTTTTAGTGATAATATTAACCTGAATTTGCTCTAAATTGGCAGCATGTATTTCCATAAAGTAAGAAACATCCTCGCATAGAACCGTCAAAATCGGTCTAAGTTTTGGTATAGTTCTCATATAACTGTACCTCCAGATATTCGGCGTTTTGATAATTTGTGTCACACTTTTCGCGGGAAATGTTTCAAATATGGACTTTTAAGCTCCCAATTGGTACTATATCCCATGGCAGAAAATTGTTCATACTTGTAAACGTATTCGTATAGCCTCCATATTACGGTATTCTCCCTGCATTCCGTATTTTGATTATTTTTGCGACATTTTACAAGAATTGTTTCAAATTTCGTACTTGCTGTTATTAACGGGTATAACAGCCTGTGACAGAAAATTTCTATGCAGGTCGAGGTTTTCGTATAGCCCCATATAACTGTACCTCCCTATATTCGGTATTTTGATACCTCCCTATATTCGACATTATTCACCGAATTTTTTCAAGTTTCGTACGTGAATATCGTAATGACCTATGACAAAAATTAAATATACAGGTCCATGTCTTCGTACAGGCCCCAAGAATAACGATATTCGGTATTTTCATGATTTAGCTGTACTTTTCAACGGATTTTCTTTTATACCCTACACCACATAGTGGTAAGGGTATTAATTTTTTGTACATTGGTTTGCAACTTGAAGAAGGAAGTGAGATAGACTCAGAGTTACTTTTGAGGATCTTTATAGAATCACTTTCAGTCCATCTGTTCGTCTGTCCATTTATTTTTGTGAACAAAATGGAAGTCACATTTATTATTCGAATGAGATGAAAATTTTCAAACAACATTTTTTGTCCTTACTGAAATTAGTGAGAATCGGTTCACATTTTGATGTAGCTCCCATTTATCTTCAACCGATTTCGGGTTAATTGTCCCAAAATGGCCAAAATCAGTCCAAATGACCTGAATTTTTGCACATCCGACCGAATCCAGTCTGGAAGCAAGTACATGAAATCTGCAAGCTTCGAAAATCGGTTGAGATATAGCTTTAGCTCCCACATATATGTCTCAACCGATCTGGAGTTTTAAGTCCCTCTCATGTGTAATATGTACTCCACAAAAATTATATTTGGTACTATATAAATTATAGAGCTCAAAAATAACTCTATCAAATGTTATCAAGATCGATACAGGTTTGGATATATATCCCATATAACGTTATCCGATTTCGAGTTATTTGCGTACTGAATGGCCAATATCAGTCCAAATTGCCTGAATTTTGGCACATCAGACCAAATTCGGTCTAGAAATAAGTACATTAAATTTGTTAAAAATCGGTTCAGATATAGCTAAAGCTCCCATACATATGTATCATCCGATTTGGGGTTAAAAATCCCTCACACGACGGATATGCACTCCACAAGAATGGTACTATTGGTAATATTCACTCCTCAACAATGATACTGCTCAACAATACCTCTGCCAAATTTTATTGAGATCGGTTTAGATTTTTATATAAAAATAAGTAAAAACGCCGCTAAGTTCGACCGGGCCGAACATTTAATACCTTCCACCATTTTGAAGGAAATTGAAATATTTCAAAAATTTCGAAAACTACCGCTTAAATCTAAACCGTTATATGGGGATTATACGAAGACGCGGACCTGCAACGAAATATTTTGTCATAGGCTGTAGTGACCATTACGAACTTCAAATACGACATTCGAAATAAATCCGGTAAATAATTTCGCTAAAATCATGAAAATACCGAATATCGGGAGGTACCGTTATGGGAGCTATACGAAGGTCTGAACCTGCATACAAAATTTTTTGCCATAGGTTGTAGTACCCTTTAGAATCTTTCAGAATAAAATTTGAAACGATTCCGGTGAGTAATGTTGCTGAAACCATCAAAATACTGAATATCGGGAGATACTGTTATACGGGGCTGTACGAAAACGTGGACCGACATGGTCTATTTACGCACTTAATCTGGAACTTAATCCAACTGGTAAACTATGCATGTATGCAAATTTTAGCCTTCTATCTCAATTCGTTCGAAGATAGCGTGATTACAACAGACAAACAGACGGACATCTTAAGATTATCTTAGAATTTTACGCTGATCCAGATATATATGCTTTGTTGGGTCTATTATGAATATTTGAGGAGGGTATAAAAATGTCACGTTTGAGCATAATAAGTTCGCATATTGTATAATATCATCTACTATGAATTAGAATATGCTCCTTTTTATTCACATGAGTACACTTAAATAGAATTTTTATAGAAGATATTGGAATTCAAGAAAATGGCAATAATAATCTTCTAAACTATGAATTAGTTTTTCTTTTGCATTTGTGGTTGTTGTTTGTATTGGCTGTTGCAGATATTCATGCTCAGTATGCAAATCGGAGACCTGGTCATGACACTTAGTATAACTGCAGCACTTACTGGCTGCAGAAGAAAACGCTATGCTTGTAATTCGTTTTATTTTTTTCTAACTACGTGAGTATGAGAGCGAGTGTGTTTTGGGGGCAAAGCTGCCGCAAAGCAACACCAGGCAGTCATCCGTTCACATAAAAAGCAGGAGCAGCTGTTTCTATAACATGTTTTACGCTTTGCGTTCTCCTTCTTCCCGACTTCTTTATGCCGAACAAGTGATGTAATCAATTGCACATATTTTATGGTGGAATTTCTGAGATACTCCGTT